AGAGCTTGTAACACTCCAAAGAGAAAGGAAAAATCGAAATTGCATCATATGACCCCTTTAATGAATGACACATCTTACCCTCTTTCCAATCATCATCAGTTTACAACCCTGCTTTATTCCAAAGCGCCAGAACAACATAACGTTACAATTCTAGTGATCCAGATATTCTTGCATTCAACAATACACCGTTACTGTTGCACTGGCACAGATTAATGATGCTTTTATTTCAAACACTGCATTGTTCTGTTGAGTTCAACTAGTGATAATTACTGTAGTTTATACCCAAAACACAGGTGGCCACTTACAGCTGAGTAAGTATAACACAGGAAGCTGAGAAACAGATGTGCCTGAAGCAGAGTATATACTGTATTACCTTTAAATATGACTTTCTGGGATGGTATTGGTACTCCCGTGGCTTCTGTCAGCGCCTCACACAAATCCTTTAACAGTGCTTCATGTCCATCCTGTGCTGTTAAAGTGATGTTGTGTTTGGTTGTGCCTGAGACAAGAACAGTCATTATCATAGACAGAACAACAAGACAGGTTTAATACTCAAAATTATTCAGAGAGCTAACCGGCACTGTATCTGCAAATCCAGTATTGACATTTACCACTTAACTAGCCGTAATCAGATGTAACTAATATTGAAATAAACGTCTGTGGTTTAGAGGGATGTTCAGATCATTTACAGGTAGCTAGCTTCAAAACTGTCGAACCGTATAAAGTCTCAATACAAAATACCGACTACATTTATTTTCGATATATCTTAATGTTTTAAAATGTAAAATGGTGGTCAGTTATCTTTACCACAAGCAACTGTCACTGTCATAGTGTTCTCCGCCATATCGGCACACTATTAGCTAACGCTTCACAACTTTACAGTGTGTACACATGCAACCGGAAATGACGCAAGTGTGTACGTCACGCCCCTTTTCTGCGCCTCATCTATCGGTCCTTCTGGATTATTGTATTTACTCAAGAATAATTCGGAAGGATTTAGAAACCTATATTAATAGAAAACCGGGGTGTGTGGATTTATATTTATTTTTTTATTTTTGGAAGAATGTCATTTTGGAATGCAAAAAAAAAATCTACATTATGCAATTATTATTCATTTTATTAGGAAAATACCATATACGCAGGAAAAAGTGGGCTATACATAAACCTTTTGGAACGAACAAAAAAAAAAAAACGCTGAAAATGTGATATTTTCTAGGTACTAAAATGTATGTTTTTTTTTTTGTTGTTTGTAGCAGCTAATCTGGTAAATAATGTGACTGTGCAATACCTCTTGTTCAATCGGTCTTTCTTCTGAAATGTGTTATTGCTGAATGAATAGCCCAATGGTTCCACAAAAATGTTTTCAAATACCACCATTTATTGCATCTCTCATAGACTCCAGTGATGCATTTCACATTTCAGAATATTTCACATCTTGATGCATATTCAATTCATTAATTAAATTTGTTATCAAGAAAACCAGGTAATTTTGTTGGACTAGTTCATGGCTGCTCCACGCAAGTTCTTCATTCATGCTAATGCTACCCAGAACGATGGACTTGAAATACTTGATCAGTGTCAACAATAATTTCAACCAGCTTCAGAGTTCAGAGTGAAGCAATACACACTTCGTCTTAACAAGAGCATAGAAATATAAAATTAATAATAATAATAATATGAGTTTATATGTAATATGTAACAACACTCAAGAGTGAGATTTTTATGTTCGTAATTTTTTGTTAAAATAAATAAATACGTTTATTCAATAACTCGACTTTCCCAAACTGTTTGTATCTCCAAAGTTATCATCCAAAACTATTTTTGTTTGGACATGCATTAATAAAAAGTTATGTTCAGATACAAGGGAAAGTAGGTGATCCAAAATTCTGATTACTAAAGGATATGCCAGTAGTTTAAATTGGATATCTAAAAACTGTAATCTCGTCGGAATTTACTGGGTTACTGGGTATAACATGTTTACATGACCAAATTCTAAATAAAACTGGAAAATCACGCTTCATATACAATACCGTGTGCTAGACTGGGCAATGAATACAACACAACATGTTCAATACCATCAGCACAAGAAAAACGTCCTCCACCAGTAAACAAAACACTGATCAGACAACAGATTCTTATGTGGCAGGGATCTGTGGTAGGCCAAACTCATCGACCAGAACTCCATCCTGAGAGATTCAAATACAAATATGCACTGAATAAATCACAAAGACAAATAATAACAAATGATAAGTAATATGAATATTTTGTCATTGACAATTGTATCTATGTAATCTGCACCTTATTGGTTTTAGTGTCACTGGGCATTCCTTCAGGAATGGAGGGTGCAGACGAGGCTTCATCTAAGTAAGAGCTGTCATCATCCAGCAGTAACTCATCTCCCAGAGCATCCAGCTCTGCAACAGAGAAAAAAAGTGAAGCTCTCAGCTCCACACACACACACACACACACACACACACACACACACACACACACCTGCTTCTAGCTCATCCTCATCAATCTCTGGTGTGCCATAGCTGCGACTGAGAGCGTCCTGCACCTCGTTAGCCTCTTCCATCATGTCCTCCAGTTGATCCTGCAGGTCCTATCAGTTACAAAGATCTTCAGAGTTCAGAGTGAAGCAATACACACTTCGTCTTAACAAGAGCATAGAAATATAAAATTAATAATAATAATAATATGAGTTTATATGTAATATGTAACAACACTCAAGAGTGAGATTTTTATGTTCGTAATTTTTTGTTAAAATAAATAAATACGTTTATTCAATAACTCGACTTTCCCAAACTGTTTGTATCTCCAAAGTTATCATCCAAAACTATTTTTGTTTGGACATGCATTAATAAAAAGTTATGTTCAGATACAAGGGAAAGTAGGTGATCCAAAATTCTGATTACTAAAGGATATGCCAGTAGTTTAAATTGGATATCTAAAAACTGTAATCTCGTCGGAATTTACTGGGTTACTGGGTATAACATGTTTACATGACCAAATTCTAAATAAAACTGGAAAATCACGCTTCATATACAATACCGTGTGCTAGACTGGGCAATGAATACAACACAACATGTTCAATACCATCAGCACAAGAAAAACGTCCTCCACCAGTAAACAAAACACTGATCAGACAACAGATTCTTATGTGGCAGGGATCTGTGGTAGGCCAAACTCATCGACCAGAACTCCATCCTGAGAGATTCAAATACAAATATGCACTGAATAAATCACAAAGACAAATAATAACAAATGATAAGTAATATGAATATTTTGTCATTGACAATTGTATCTATGTAATCTGCACCTTATTGGTTTTAGTGTCACTGGGCATTCCTTCAGGAATGGAGGGTGCAGACGAGGCTTCATCTAAGTAAGAGCTGTCATCATCCAGCAGTAACTCATCTCCCAGAGCATCCAGCTCTGCAACAGAGAAAAAAAGTGAAGCTCTCAGCTCCACACACACACACACACACACACACACACACACACACACACACACACCTGCTTCTAGCTCATCCTCATCAATCTCTGGTGTGCCATAGCTGCGACTGAGAGCGTCCTGCACCTCGTTAGCCTCTTCCATCATGTCCTCCAGTTGATCCTGCAGGTCCTATCAGTTACAAAGATTGGTAATGAAAAGTGTACATTATTTACCACTGATCATTCATCAAAAATATTGCTTAAAAACAGCTGATATCAAAATGATAAGTGTATATACTTCAATCTGATCCATCTTCACTTGTTTATATGCTTTCTTCATTTCTTTTGCTCCAATCTTCATAGCCTCCACCTACAAAAGAATAAAACATCTGTAGAATCTAACAGTTAAAATGAATAAATATGAATGAATAAATTAAATTAAATTAAAAATCCAATAATTCTGGGGAGAATATGGACACCAGCAAAACAGAATGACATTTTAGAAAGTTTAGAAATAAATTGTTTTAGAAAATATGGGGGGGGGGGGGGGG